TTAAATACGCCCACATTCCAATCTGCGGACAAAGTGAAAACATGACAATAAGATTTTTTGGTTCTCTTTTTCGTTTTTTCTTCGTTTGTTATGTTTTAATTTTTTTTATTAATTCCAATTGTTAATCATTTGAATATTTTTTTAATATAAATTAACAATATTTTACTAAATTTATATACTTCAATAGTTTTAGTTTTGTTCTTTATTTTGTTACAAAATAAAATCTTTGAATCAAAATAATAAAAACAATTATAGATAATTAAATGATCTTTTGTTATATATAAATTAATAATTTTATTGTTTCTTATGATTAAAAAAATGGATATGTGGACAAAAGTTGAACAAAATGATAAATAACATTATTTATTGATTGAAAACAATAGTTTTTATTGTTTTTTAAATTGTTTTTTATATATTTAAAACTATAAATTAATTTATAAATAAACTATATAATTACCACTAAAATAATAAGAATAAATTAAATAAAAATAATCAAAGACAGAAACTATAAGTAATGGTACTTTTAGTATTAGATTATTGTTTAAAATAAAATATTTTATTTTTTTAATAAAATAAATTCAATAAAATTAAAAATCACTTTGGCTTAAAATCTGAAAAACATGTATTTACTATTCTTGTTTTTCAAGTGTAAGTTATCGATACAAATATTTATTATTGAGCAAATATGGTCAAAATTATAGAAGCACACATTTCTTTATTGGATTGTATTATAATAAAAAATATAATAATAAAGTATGTTCTATTAAGTTTATTATATGGAATTAATAATAAACAATTATAATACTTGTTTAAAAAAGTATTATCGAATATAATATATTTAGTATAAACAAATATATTTTATAATACTATAATTAAAACCAGAAACGCATTAATTTATTACTAATCGACACAATGAAATAAAAAAAACTTAAAATTTAAATCAACTCTAAATCACAAAAAAGTTGATGTTTATTTTTCTTCTCTTTTTTTTCAAGATCCAGTCTTGCGAAGTTATTTCTGTCATTCCAATTTCATATTCATCTTCCTCCAATGGAGACACCTGTTATATAATACCAAATACATCACTTCTTTTGATCACAAGAAATTCCTCATTAACTTACAACAATCATACAACTCCGGTCCTTCAGCTTGATCTTTCCAATTCCAAAACTACACAAACGTTCATTTGGCATCACACAAACAATTCAGTATTACACATCCAACACCCAACAGACAACACTTACCAAACACCAATTCCTCTTTCAAACCCTTATTCCTCAAAACCATCAACCCTATTTCAAAGCCATTTTGGGTCGTTCTTCAGTTTTTCGGGAACTTCCGTCGTGCGGATAACGGCCTCTGCACTTTTGACACAAAAATCAAAACGAGTTCCTGCCACTATTTTCACTTTTGAGAATGACACAATCGACGAAATTCAAATTGGGGAGGTCGTCGTCTCAGTGACAGGGCAGATTACCTTTTTTGTCGGGACGAAAGAGAAAGAGACGATCATTGGTGTGTACGTTTTTACTGCTGGTAGTTTTGGAGGGGAATCTTGCGAGACAGCGACCCTTTTAGGGTTTCCAATAAGTCTGGTCGATTTCAAGAAAAACACAAAGAGCGGCGTTTGGTTTAAGTTTTTCGGGAAAAAAGGTGGGAATGTTACTGTAGAAACGTGTGGGGAGGAAAGTCAGTTTGACACGTCGATCAAAGTGTATGACACGTGCCAGACGGAAAAGGCCTCTGAAGTGATTGGCTATTCCGATGATTTTTGTGGGGAACAGGGAAGTCTCAACTTTGTGAGTGAAGAAAGTGATTATTTCGTTTTAGTGAGCCACGGTGCAAAGCAATTGATATTGATGGAACGTTTCGGCTTTCTATTTACGAAAACGCGCCGCCACAAAACGAAAAGTG